GATAGATAGATAGATAGATAGATAGATAGATAGATAGATAGATAGATAGATAGATAGAATTCTTTATTGGCTAAATGTGATTGAACACACAAGGAATTTGTCTTGGTGCAAATGCTCTCAGTGTACATAAAAGAAAAGATACATAAAAGAAGAGATAAATTCTCTTCCCCACCCAGATTCGCCTTGACATGCCATATAAATTAACATGCAGTGGTATTTTACTTTCAAAATGTACACTATTGATAAAGGACATTTAGTACTGTATAGGGGAACACTTAACTGCTGACATTTCAAGGTGGTAAGTCCTTAATCTTTCCTGAAAAAAGTGCTGGAAGGCACTTGAATTAAACACTTGATCCTCAAACACTCCATGGTTTGGTCTTAACAGCAACAAAAAAGCTAGATTTCCACTTCTTTTAGCTGTTTACTTGCTAAAACTCACATTAAGAATAATAGGATCACACCAGATAAATATGCTGAGCATTGAAGCAGAAGCTGGAATTATAAATAGTATATGCTATCTGCCTCATAACATTTGAATCCCAGATTCTTCTTCTAAGTAATGCATTTTTTAAAATTACCCAAATTGATAAAATTAGTGGGTATATAATGCATATTTAATTTTAAACCATTGTTTTCATCATCATCAATCGTCCAAATACACATTTCATTAAAAATTACAATAATTTAAATGAGGTATACATTTGATCTTTGGATACTATAATTAATTAACCATCTCAAAGGCCAGCTCTATACTATTTTATACTAAAATAGTATGCAAGTTGTGTAAAATCAGAGCTCTTACTCAAACAAGTTTTTTTTAACCCTTTTTATGCTTGTGAGGATTCTTTGTTTTTCAGACTGGAGACATCATAGCATAGAAGATAACTGTACAAACTGCTTTATTGTGGTCCATGCTTTTCCTAATAATATTTGCCCTGGGTTAACGCCATCCTCCTAGGTTTTGTAAGTTGATGTAGCCATGTAAATAATGATAGTTATTCCTTATAGCAACAGTCTTACAAATTTTTTTATAGTGGCATACAATTTTTGCCTTCCTCCAAAAGTTCTTGTGTCTTGGGATTAGATGCTGCCTTGATGTAGTTGGTCTTTCTGGCTGCTCCCAAACTGCAGCCCAAAGTCTAAGCCAAACTCCAAATAGGAATCACACCACAATGGGTTAAATGTCTCTGGAGATTCTGAATCTTCCAGGTCATGGTTATCCCAAAGGGTTTTTTTTTAAAAAAGACAACTGGAGTACAGTGGGTTGCTTACAATCATTTGTAATCCTGGTAGTTGCCCTTTTACTTACCTCCTGTAGTAACTGTACATTTCCGAACATCACTTCCTGCTTCATTGTCTGCTTGTTGTCTTATCCTCCACCATTTCTCCACACATCCACTGTTTTGTAGGTGAAGAGCCTGGGTGGGGTGAGGCTACCTATGGATGTTAGCAGGGTGCTAAAAATGCCAAGATATGGTTCAGTTAGCTGGACACCTGCAATATCAGTGTGTATGCTTGCAAGTAAACTTCAGAGAGGAATTAATAAGCTCATTCCCTTAGGTTTTTGGGGCAGTAAACTTTTACTGCCTTTGGGAGAGAAAGCATGCGTTTAGCCCTGGTGAATTAGAGATGGTGGGGTGGGAAGTGTTTCTGCTTTGCTGTTGTTGGTTTTTTTCAAATGCAGACAACAATCCCAGCTTCATACTCCCACAATGTTAGGATATATTTTTTATTTATAATTACATGGAATGATTCTCACACAGTTTAGATCTTCTAAAAAGGCTCTTTGGGGGGGGGGAAGGAAATTAAAGCTTTCTTTTAAAATACAACAAATGAAGTGACTGCAGTAGAAGGAAAGGTAGATGCACTATCTAAACATTGGATGAAATGAATAGATTTGACAACAATCTCTCTAAAATAAGTAATTAGAAGCTTTTTTTAAAAAAAATACCATATGCATATTTAGCACTATTGGTCCAAAATGTGTCGTTATGCATAACCTGAAAACAAGTTATAGTGCTAAAATTTGCAAGATCTTTGTCATCTGGATGGGAAAAGCTTTGAGAATAATTTGTTGATGCTCTGAGCCCTTTGAAGGAAAAATGAAGTTTCAATGCAGTAAACTAAAATACAAGGAATGATGAAAACAATTCCTTACCCAATTTTTCTACAAAGTCAATCCTCACCATTTCTAGATATGAAATCTTACGTGTGTTGCTAATGCCCAATAAATAATGGTGATGGCTAGGCTAATCCTGATGACAGGATACTAAAGATAGCTTGAATGGTTGGGCAACTGATTAATCGAAGCCAAGAAAACAGACAACAAAGAGTCAGCACATCTTCTCATGACCATAGATTCCCTTGTCCTTTCTGCAAAGAGAATTTTAAAAAGGCAACGAGCCCACTTGGTTCCAAAAGAGCCATTTTATTTTCTAAGAATCAATAGAGATCTTCTTTCTCCAAAATAAATACAAGTACAAATGCCCACCCGGCTGCAGCAGAAAGAGCCATGTTTCTACAAGGTGGGGGGAGGTGGGGGGGGGGGGGAAGAGGAAGGGGATCGGGCTGAGTCAGATTCCAAAAAGCTATAGTATCAAAATGTGCAAGTGAGAAGATGGTGGCCCTGCTCTGCAGAGTGTCGGTAGGGCTGGGCCGAGGAAAGGCTGATGGATCTGGACAGGTGCTATGAGGCAGGGAAACGGGGCCAGACTCTGTATGTTGGGAGGGGTAGGTGTATGGAGCAGCCCAAATAATTTACATTCTCCCACTATTATACAGTTATCTTACAAAAGTCTAGAGCCTTAAAAGACCCAGAGAGTTAGGGTACTGCCCATAGGAGCTAGGCAGGCAGCTGGGTATTGCTCGTGCAGCTGGTCAGGGCGATTCCAGGCATGGAACAAAGGAAGGGCAGGCTGGCACAAGAGGTAGGCTTTGCCCACGTGAAGGGCACAGTGCTCTGTGGGTGTGCCCAGCACACTGGAGGAGCTGTTGGGTGCTCTGTGCAGGTCCCTGCAGCCAGGCTTCCCAAGGCTGGAGCTCCCTGCTCTCGTCTCCTGTACAGTCCAGCTGCACTGAATGAGCACCCAGGGCGGGAGCCCCTCGGGAGGGTCAGTCGCTCTCGCTGGAGTCGCTGGTCTGCTCTCCTTGCACCTTGTTCCGGTGCTGCATGGCTCGGTGATAGGCAATCTGGACAGACTTCCGGATGTTGGACTTGCGGCCTTCCAGCATCTTCTCCTTATCCAGGTCCTGGTTTACGCCGAGGGGCACGAGTTTGGTGCGGGGCAGCCACTGCCTGCAGGAAAGGAATGTGCGAAAGTCACTCCCAAAACAAGAGGGCTATTCCGTCCCCCCTGTTCCCCACTCTTCCTCTCAATTAACTCCCCCAGCCCTGTATCTCCTGCTTGAGCCGGGGGGGTTGGACTAGAAGACCTCCAGGGTTCCTTCCGGCTCTATTCTGATCGATTGATGGAGCTCTTGCCCTTTCTTTGTAGTTTTTGGGACCTGGGAAAGGGAAAGAGCTGCAGCCCTTACCAGGTGCGCTTGTTGTCGAAGAAGAGGACCAGGTAGAGATGCTCCCGTGCTTCCTGAGTCATTTGCTCTCCCAGCTTCAATACCTCCAAGGGGGGCACAGGAATGGGGACACCGTGGTGGAACATCCCTTCCCGGGGCATCTTCGGATCAATGATCTGCCACGAACAGAAGGGAAAAGATCAGCCATCTATATGATGTGTGATGAGGAGAGGTTTGCAGAAAAGCAGATTAAAAAGGGAACAGGCCCAGATTATGTGCACCTGCGGCAAAGGATTGAGAATGAATGTAGCATCTTGGATACAAAGTCACAGTGGGAACACTCAGCTGTAAACTCCAATTTGGCCAGAGTTCACCAAATAGTCTTTTGCTGTTAGTTATAGAACACGGGTCTCCTAAAACCTTAACTTTCAGAGATTTCTTCTTCCACGCTTTCATAGCACCTGTTTCTCATTTCTTATCACCTTTCCCCAGTCTAATCTCTTCAGATACACTAGTCCTCATAGTCTCCAGCTGACATATCCAACTGTCAAGTCAGTAATGATGGGAATTGCAATTGCAGAAGGGGGAAAAAAAATCAAATCTTTAAGACTCTCTGCTGTGTGTGGAAACGTGCCAAGAATTCTGCAATACTGCAGTGACAAAACCTGAGATGTTGTGCGTAGGAAAAAATAATTGCCACCCTGCTGTTTCTATTAGGATTGTCCTTGGGCTAGGAGGTTCTGACTATGCAAGTTGTATCGTTTATAACATGGCAAACACACTGTTCGGTAAGAAAGGGATGGAATGGTATCAGCAGGCCCAAAACAATAATGCTTCTCAACCATGGCAACTTGAAGGTGTGTAGACTTCAACTCCCAGAATTCCCCAGTTAGGTTTGCCAAGTTTGAGAAACCCCCTGCCATAAATGTCTGCAGAGATTCTCAGCCATCCAGGTCGTGGTTGTCCCAAAGGAGCTTTTTCAGGAGGCAACTGGACTTTCTGTTTTTTTTTTTTTGAAAAGCGAAATGTCTTCAAAAGATGAGAAGCGAAACGTCTTGCGCAGAGGCTCAGGGAGGGCGAAAAACGAGCCTTCCGGAAGTTCAGAAAGGCCGGAAATGAGCCCGTTTCCAGAGAGCCTCCGGAGCCCAGGGAGGCCATTTTTGCCCTCCCAGAGGCTCAAGGGAAGCCTCTGGAGGCCAGGGAGGGCAAAAATGCCTCCCCCTGCTGTGGTGCAGGAGGCGGACTAGGCCAGGGGTCACCAACCTTTTGGACCTCAGGGACCACCAAACTCATCATTTTAAATCCCAGGGAACACTAACTGGTTCTGTGGATGTGGCCTAATTTGTGGGTGTGGCTTGGTGGTCATGTGACTGGCTGGGCATGGCTTGTATGTAAACATTATAAATATTTATATAAATATTGATTTTTTTATTTAAAAAAAGAGCAACTTTCACCCAAAATCAGGCAAAGCAGGCAGGCAGATTGAGTTGCTCACAAAATCACAGATTCATTCAGAGATCTATCTATCTGCCATCGGCTAGCTCAGTCTGTCACATAAAATTTGCTTGCAAGCAAACTCACAAAATTAACTCACAACACACCATGTATGTAAATATTGATTTTTTTTTATTTAAAAAAAGAGCAACTTTTACCCAAAATCAGGCAAAGCAGGCAGGCAGATTGAGTTGCTCACAAAATCACAGATTCATCCAGAGATCTATCTATCTGCCATCGGCTAGCTCAGTCTGTCACATAAAATTTGCTTGCTGTGAGTCTGCACTGAATAATAGAACCTTCAGTCCTAAGGGAGGTTCAGCTGTGCTTAAAAGCAGAGCTGAAGATCTAAAGACTAGCTAGAAAGCAAGAAATCCAACCATTTCATGCTTCCTAGCTAATCTAAATCTCCTGGCACAGCAGAACAGCTGATGGTCGGGAAAAAAAAAAAGGAAAAATAGCAACTTAGCAGGCAAGTTTGCCAGGTAAGGAGTGAGTGGGCGGGGAAGGTTCCCATGGGTCATGTGGGCAGTGCAGCCTTGTGTTTCTGCGCAGCCTGGATTAATTGCTTTGGGGGGGGTGCTCTGGGGGTGACATTTCTCTGTGGCCCACCAAAATTTTCTCGCAGCCTACCAGTTGGTGACCGCTGGACTAGGACATACCCATCATGGCCACGCCCATCCAGCAACCGAGCAGAGAACCTTTTGCTAAAATTTTTGAAGCCCATCCCTGCCTACGGGGACAGACAAGTTAAAACAGCAGCAGAAAAATGTATGAAACTGACCCCCCCGCTCTGCCCCCCTCCCAAAATAGGCAGTGGTCTGATGTAATTACACAAGGCCCTGAGTTTTACTGAGCTCAAAAAAAACCCAACCCCTATGGTCTCAACACATTTGAAAGATGCACAGTCACCGAGTATGTGCAGAAATAAAAAAAGACTACTGGATTTAAGCACACAGAGTCAAAATAAATTAAACTTCAATGCAGATTCTGCCTAAAATATTTATCTAGTTCTTAAAGATAACTGGTTTCTCAAGGCAAAACTATTTCTTTTGCCTGAATCGTCTCTGGAAACAATCCCAGCCATTTATTAGGACTTTCCAGGAGACGGGACACCCCAGCTCAGGTGCAGCAATTCCGCTCCCTGTTTCCCCAGGGTTCTGCCTTTGAATTTCAACAAAACAACTCTTTTTGTCCATCTAGAAGGGAGGGTATCCTTTGAGGGTATCCCAGGCCAGCAGAAGTTTACATTCAAACCCAGATGCCGACTAGCATTTAGAACGGCAGGAAGGCTGCAGGATTGTGAAGACTAGCCGGCTTTACAAAGCCAGATAAGTTCACTCCTTGGATCAAACTATAATGTATTTCTTTCTATTTTCTGGTCAAATGAATACTTAGCGATGGGTGCTCCATCACCAGAAGAGATTGGACAGCCATTTGTCTGAAATAGAGTCTCCTGCTTGAAGAGGGGGTGGGACTAGACGACCTCCAGGGTCCCTTCCAACTCTGTTATTCTATTCTTCTGATAATTTCTCTCTCTCTCTCTCACACACACAAGAGATACATACAAATATCTAACACCGGGTACATATTCAAAACCTACCAAAGCTGGATAAGATGGGTAACCCCGGCATTTGGCCCACACTAAGTCCAAGGCATCCAAAGGAGAATCTTCATCTTCAGAGAGCCATCCGGCTGATCGGCTGATACTCTTCCGGACCACTGCACACAGCAGAAGAAGAAGGAAAAAAAGGAGGGGGTTCTTTGCCATCCCTTTTGCCAACCCAGCCCTGACGGGGAAACCGGAAGAAATCGGCTCTCCTATACTCACTGCCATGGCCCACACCTCGGCCGGTTCCCACCGAATAGGACTCGTTTTCTGTCCCTGACGTGTCTTCGCTGCTGTCCTCTGGGAAGTTGACTCGGGAGAAAGAAGGCTTCCCTCGGCCTTGCTTGGAAGGCGTCGTGCTGTAAGGGAGAAATAACCGTCTCAGAGGTGGGGCCCGGAGAGGCGCTAACCACAACAAAGGGGCTGAAAGGAAGAGCGGCACTGGGAGGAGTGGAAGCTGAGGATAAGGGAGCCCAGAAGGCCTTTCATGAACTTGGCCTAGGAACAACGAGGCCTCCCAAGCAACTGGCAGGAGAACCCGAGGAAGCCAGACCAACAGGGCGAGTCCAAATAACCTTTAATCCAGTACCTTGTTTCCCAGGTTGGTTGTGCAAATGAATCGTTTATATGCAAAAGGCAGAAGCTAAGAGCCACGGCCTGCTGCATGCTTTCGCTCAACAATTTTGAGATGTCTTGCCTGTAGATACTAGAAATCATACATAGCTATCAAGGCTCAAAGCCACTGAGTCTTGTCTAATTTTCCTCCCAAGGCACATCTCACTGGAAAGATGCAACCATTACATAGTGTCAGCAATCTGCCCGGTACCTTTCCTTTGGCTTTCCTTGCTAGTAAGTGCCAGTTGGCCTGTTCTATACTCTGATCCATACAACCTATGAGGTTCAAAGAGCACTCCCTACCAGAGTAGATAGAGGATGGCGCAGTGGTTAGAGTGCAGCACTGCAGGCTACTTCTGTGGCTGCCTGCAATTTGGCAGTTCAAATCCCACCAGGCTCAAGGTTGACCCAACCTTCCACCCTTCCGAGGTAGGTAAAACGAGGACCCAGATTGTTGGGGGCAATAGGCTGACTCTGTAAACCGCTGAGAGAGGTCTGTAAAAGCACTGTAAAGTGGCATATAAGTCTTAAATGCTACTGCTATTGCCGAATGCCCTTGTGGCAGTGCACCTTTAAGGCGCTGATGAAAAGAAAACCTGACAGGCTTGAAGAGCAACGCCCTCAAGAGTTACGGGGCTGCCGCAAAAGCGGGGTTTCCGTGGCAGGCTGGGCCTTCTGGTACCTGGTGCGATCTGAGGCTGCGCTGCTAGTGCTGGTGCTGCTTGACTCGGAATCGGAGCTGCTGCGTGGGAGGTTGTAGCCGCTGCGGTAGACAAGGAAGCTCTTCTTGACCGGCTGGCTGCCGCTGCTGAAACCGTTAGCTGGCAGATCTGGAGGGAGAGACGAAGCCATCAGAGAAAAGCCCGGGGGTCTAATGGCTGCAGTAAAGCTCACCAGGGACAAAACCTTCCTCCCAGGGCTACTGTCGGGCAACAATGGACAAAAATTGAGGTCACGGTTCAAGAAGCAAAGGCATCTGGGTATGGAGGCATCTGTCTGCGCCTGGCTTCTGCGGGTAGTCCTCAACATACAACCGCAACCGAGGCCAAAATCTCTGTGGCTGAACAAGGGAGTCACTAAGTGAGTTTTGCCTCCCTTTTTAACGACCTTTCTTGCCACCGTTGTTAAGTGGACCGCTGCAGTTGTTAAAAGTCAGCAGCACGGTGGTTAAGTGGAATCTGGCTTCCCCGTTTGACTTGGCTTGTCAGAAAAAATCCCAAAAGGGGATCGCATGACCACAGAAGACTGCAACCCTCATAAATAGGAGTCATTCGCCTGCAGTGGTCCTGTGAAAAACTGTCATGTCACATTTTTCAGGGCCGTTGTTAATATAAAATGATCGCTACATGGACGGTTGTAAGTCGAGGACTAACTGTACTGTAAAAGTAAAAATCTTGAGGAGAAAGAGGCTGAGCTGGTTTAAGAGGCCAACACTCTTGTCTGTCAATTATCCTCAACTCTGTTTAATAATTTCTTTTTTGAAATGCTTTTATTTCCTTATTAAATATGTACCTTGCTTCCTGCTTATATAGGCACTCCCTTTCGACTCTGTTGAGCGCATATATAAGCTGAAAAGCAGGGTATATAATTAATAAGGAAAAAGCAAATTTTTTTTCCTCCCCAAGCCATCATCACTCCCCGAATAACTTGCACAAGCTGCTTCCGGACGGTCGGCTCCCAGTCCCAAACACTGGACTTCCATAGTGGGCTCAATATTGAACCTCTGCAGCCTGACTCCCAAATCGGGGAGGCAAGACTTTGCATTTTTAGGTGTGTTTCAACACTGCATGTACATTTTTTTAAATAAAAAAAACCCAAGCATGAGTGCCATAAAAAGGCAACTGGGCTACAGCCTTACATCAGAATGTTTGTCTACAAATATATATCCTAACTATTATTGGTTGGCATCATCACATAACTAGGGAAGATATTCATTGGTTTGTTAAATTCATCTCTAATTTATTGCCAGCATTATCTGGTTAATTTTATAACAAGAGGCAAGAAAAAAGGCACCATTTAATTAGTCCCATTGAGAGCTCTGTCTGAGACTAAGAGAGCTGTAGGCCATCATGTGTGGAGGGTTGTCAGGCTAGGGGAAAGGCTTAGACTGTATAAGAATATAGAATTTATTATCCATGCTTCTCCTTGGTTCCCAATATGGATTTTTTTAATTAAAGAAAGAAGTTGAACTGTGGCAGGGTTCACAAATCATGCCAAGCCATCAGTTTGATTTAGTTTGCTTTAGACTTAACAAGTTGTATAAACACATTCAGTAAAACATGATTCAATAAACCATGCCTTAATATGATACAAAAAGTAAGCATTTATCTATCGGTCGTGTACTGAGCTCATTTATATAATGGCCCTTTTCCTTCACAGTGACGTTTTGAATTAAAACAATAAATATTTATCCAAGAGCCTTTATCAGTACTGCACCTTTAAAGTCAGATCCTTTGCAGATTTACTCTCATTAAGAGCCACTACATTCCCAGGGAAGCCTTAGGGAAGATTTTACAGGAAACCAAACTCCTCTTCTTTCATAAGAGCCACGGTGGCACAGTGGTGAGAGTGCAGTACTGCAGGCTACTTCTGCTGACTGCCGGCTGACTGCAATTTGGCAGTCCGAATCTCACCAGGCTCAAAGTTGACTCAGCTTTCCATACTTCTGAGGCCCAGATGGAGGACCCTGATTGTTGGGGGCCATAGGCTGACTCTGTAGAGAGAGCTGCAAAGCACTGTAAAGCGGCATGTAAGTCTAAGTGCTATTGCTATAAGGCACATAAAGTAGAACCAAGGTCCGGTGCTCAAGGTTTCCCTGCAGCTTCACTCACCAATCGGAGCGTCCTCAGCCGATTTGTCGCTGTCGCTGTCGGAGCTGGAGCTGGGGCGTGGGCTCCTCACCCGCTTGCGCTGCCGCTGGGATCCCATGATCGGGAGCTGAGGGGGCCCCACGGGGCTGTTCCCATGACCAGGAGCCAGCTGACTGTCACGGTTCTTGGGGGGGCGCCCAGGACGCTTTGGGGGCACAGCGGTTTTGGGATTCTTCTTGGAGAAGAGCACCGATGTTCTCCTGCCGACTTCGTGTGCTGGGGTGGAGGAGGAATTGGGGCCAAGGCCTGGAATGAGGCGGAGGCTTTGGTTTAGAGGAACAACTTGGGCACTTTGGGGCCAGGATCCTGTCTTCCAGAGACAAGGGCAGGTGGGCCTTGGTTAACCGTAGCAATTGGGACCAGAACTGTTGTGGTTACGTGAATCAACAAGGGTCATTAAGCGGGGAACATCACGTGGTCACCAATTGCAACCCCCTGCCGGCTTTCCCAGTGACTTGGCCTGTTGGAAGCCCAGGAAAGAAAGTTGCAAATGGTGACCATATGACTGTGATATGCTACCAGAACCAGAACTCTCAGGACAGGACTGGTCATAAGTACCACTCATTCAGTGCTGCTGTAAGTGCAAATCATCACGGAATGAGTAATCATTAACCAAGGACACCTGTAAGTTGAACAGCTGATTTTTAAGAGGGTGTTCAACCTTTCTGCTAAGGCCTTCTCCCCACTGCAATTGGAATGAACCTCAAACAGGGCAGTGCTTACTATTTTCTTTCAAACGCGCCTTTTCAAACACATCCACCACATAATGTGCGGGGGAAAAAAATCTATCTGCGAACAAAGGAATCCTGAGCCAAACTCAACGCAATATGCAAGGCAGGCTTCAGAACTGCTTTACACAACTTCCCAACTCCAAGTCAAGGAGCCTCTGTGGCTCAGTGGTTAGAGTGCTGTACTGCAGGCTACTTCTGCTGACTGCCGGCTGAATGCAATTTGGCAGTTCAAATCCCACCAGGCTCAAGGTTGACTCAGCCTTCCATCCTTCCGAAGTGGGTAAAATGAGGACCCGAATTGTTGGGGGCAATAGGCTGACTCTGTAAACCGCTTAGAGAGGGCTGTAAAAGCACTATAAAGCGGTATAT